TCGTCGGAGATGAATGTTTTAAGTTTCTTTTTTAGCAGTAATGAGCAAATCGTGCGCATCCTGCAGTGACTGGCCGCTAACCAAATATTCTCAGTTATTCGGTCATATAAAGTTTAATTATTGCCAAGTTACAGTATTTCAAATGACGGCTTTTCGACATGTTTTAATTGTTTGAATTCAAACTCATAAAAGATGGATGCTTAGTGATTTGGCCATGCAGAACACGAGGCATCCCACTAGATGCGTCTCGAAACGTTAATCTTGGATCTGACTCCCGCATCTGCCAAGCGATTTTGAAGAAGATTATAAAAGCTTCCGCGAGATTTCGCGTGCTCATCGGTCGAAAATTTAGCCCAAGAGGCACTACGGCAAAACCTATATTTACCCTTTCGCAGTACCTAAAAGGGGCGTACTCTATCCAACAATTAAGCTTTTACTTTTGCGTACGGAAAATTTTGTGTACTCGGGCAACAAATACATTGTGTGGGCTACTTTGCCTTCAAATTGTTTGAAATCGTCCAGCAAATGAGGAAGGCGGATTTGAAGTCAGCGTTTCAAGGCACATCTAGTGGTGCGCCTCTCATTTTGAACGGTCGAGGTCACTGCAATTAGAACCTTTTCCTTATCAGCTGTCAATAGTCTTTAACTTCAACTTCTTCTAGCAGTCACTAGGAAGTTAAATCTTCATTACTTTTGTAAAGTATCTAAACTCAAGATCTCAAAGGTGAATAACATCTTAAAATCATCTCTACATTCGCTGAGGTTAAACTTCATGCGATTACTTGACTCAGTAGAGTGCAGCATCTTTTTTGAATTGGTTATTCTCTGCTCAACTTTATCTTTATTATGAAACAAGATAACTTTTCTAAATTGGCGAATACTTAGGATGAGTAATGCCGAGCAGCTTATGATGGGTGAACAACAAACGACAAACGTTTCCAATGTATCTGGACAATGTTTCGTCAATCAAGCAATGCAGGCAGTACGCCAACAAAGAGCTGGACCTTTATATGATGTGACGAAAATGGTGCGGGACTTTTGGCCGAGCCAGATGCGAAAAATTGAGCACATGACCGAGGTATCTTTGAATTACAGCAATCTTTTATTTGTCAATACTCCTTCTTTGTTACTTACAATATATTGCATTAACGCTATTCCGAAAGTATTGAGTATTCTCATAAAATAGCCGGCAAAAACTAGGCTCTACATCTGCTGATGCTTTTGATATTTCTGTTGGAACGCACGTTGCATGTAAAGCTTGTATCTTAATAGATGCTGTGATCATTATTCTATCTTATGTATGATTAAGTGAGTGTTATCCTTTGTTTGCGAATAAAAATTAACTTAACATATCTTCTGCGAACAACAATCCCATTTAAAGCTCTTTCTTTTTTAGAATGAAATGCGCGAACACTGCAAGCATATGGAATTACCCATGGCTAGAGTAAAGAAAGTGATGCGTCTGGATGATGAGGTGCGGGCTCAGATGATAAGCTCTGATGCGCCTCTGCTTCTGGCGGCTGCATCAGAAATGTTTATTCAAGAGATCACCTTGCGTGCATGGCAACTCGTTGAAGAGGGGCGACGAAAAACGTTACAAAAGGTATTCTTGTATCCATCAAAGTTTATATTTCCATTTCGAATAAGTACATGCATTTTTTGTTTTTGTAAAGTTTTGTTCATATATTCATCTGTATCATACGTATGTCATATGTTTCATATGTATGAATCAAGGATCTATTGAAACCCCCTTTCCAGTCCGATATCGCTGCAGCTGCCAGCAGATTTGAGCATTTTGATTTCCTTATTGATATTGTTCCCCGCGAAGATTCCAAGAAGATGCATGTGAGCTGTTGAAATTTATAAGGGAATACAAACTCTAATCCATCTCTCATTTTAGGACGACATTCATACCATGAATGTGACTTCGGATGGGAGCTTAGGAACGACAGCTCAGGTTCAGTATGTGCTCGCTGGCGATGCTGCGCAAGGCAACGACGTTTATCACCTGGATAATGGCCAAGTGCTACATGCTACTCCTATCGGTCAACCGATCCCCATAGGCGAGTTCTTCTGTGGACTCATCGTTCTTTTTTTAAACCTCTATTCTGTTTACTAATTTTCAGGTACTCCATCATCTGGCAATATCGATATCAGTCAGTTACCTCCCGGAATGCAGATAGTGCACCTGCCAGCCCAATAATCGTTTCACTTATGTATGAATTGACTTGAAGCTCTTTTTTTGCCAAATATCTCTGTTATCTCAGTTATCTTCTCAAATTGACGGGTAGTTTTCATATCAGTTTATTAGATTAGAAGATATCCATTTGGATATGTGAACGTGTCTGGTAAACCTTATGTTATATATCTTTTCCATTGTAAACCTATTTGATATTTTCTTTGCATTTGCGCGTGAATGATGAAGTATACATAAAATATTTCCGAATGGTATTGCTTATTTCATACATTTTGTTACTTTTTGATTAGTAATAAATATATAAGTAATGATGTATTTCATGATAGAAATTGCCTGGTTAGTTACTGACCACTGATTCTTCTCTTTGATCTTGACGCCTTGTTAAATAGACTTAACGAGCTTTGTATGCGTTGACTGGTAGAAATTTCTTTTTATATTTGCTAGCCATTAGCGAAATAAACTTTCAAACTTAGTTGAATTTGATGAAGTGGCACTGCAGTTGCACGCTCAAAAGAAACAAATGATGATTCCTATCTGATTTTTTCTGCACCAGCATGAGTGCACATCTGCAGTAGAGAATTCATACGAAAAGTGACTTGCCTTTTTAGATGGAAACAACTGAAATAGAACGGCGTCGAAAAGAACGAGAGAAATTAAAACGCAAATCGGTGGTTGGTCGAGGAGATCATGATATAGTTGCTACATTCAATCATAACCATGTTGTGAATCCGGAAAAGCTGCGGTTTCGCGAGCATCGGCCTATAGATGATCGTCGAGGCGAAACGGTTCTCTCTGTCGAGAACGATGTGGGTACACCTTTCAACCATTACGACTTATTTGTTAGTATGAAGTTGAATTCCTTTATCATGCACCGCTATGTACGTGCGAAAATTTTTCAATTGTATCCTTCTTTTTCCATTTTTTCAAGTGTTTACGATTTATAGGGCTCTAATTCATGCTTTTCTCTAAAATTCAAGTTTGCGAGATTCGAGGCTCTCGTCAATGGCTCATCGTTGGATTTCCATGATACAATAGGCGGGGTAGACATTTGACTTGTTCCGCGGCATAGGTGCATTACAACCAGCTGATCCATATGTTCTGATTTTGAAAAGTTGACATCGCCTATAGTTGATCAAACATAGCGCAAAGCGCCACTGCGTTAATCCTCGCTTTCGCCTAGGGAAACGGGGAACCGACGATGGACCATTTTCTATCTGATTTTCCACTTTCTAATTCGAATTCTTGTAAAAAAGCTGTACCAAGTTTTCAAACTCTGGCTCTGGAAATTGTTTGCTTTTTTGTTGAAAATGAGATTGTTCAAAATGCATTGAAAGGTGTTCTGAATGTCCCATTAAATTTTGCAAAAAGTACAAAAGTACTGTTCTGTTCCAGAAAATTCTCTGTCTCCGGAAAGTTGATAAATGATACGCTGCTGTTAAGATATGCGAAAATGTTATCGAAGTTGGAACGGAAGTAACCAGTCATGATGAAGGATATGATTATGCTTTGGCGATAGTAGATCGAGAGACTGGAAGCACAACATATCGACCTGTGCGGTTATATAATTTTGAGGCAACTTACGCATCGGACATCCGGCAGTTTCTCGGTGAAAAGTGAATAGTTTTGTTTTCTGTCTTTGCAAATACAGAAAATAATGCTGATTGAAGGAGACGCCCTCCTATCGACTATGGTGCCAGCTATGATATCAAAACGGAAGATTGGGCCAAGAGGCGTATGGATCTTACAGCTGATTTTGGTTCCTCAAAGAAAATGAAGATTCAGGAGGCAGCGATCAGGCGGCAGATCAATACTGTTCGTTACCGATGCACCTTATTCGAAAATATTTAACAAAAGTTGTTTTTTAACAGGAAACATTAGATGCAATGAGGAAGACAGCCTTTGCTTCTACCAGTGTTCTTGCTGAACCAGAAGATATCAAGAAAGAGCAGATCAGCCTGGTTGCTAAGGTGAGCCGAGTTTGAATCATTCATATTCTCAAAGTTGTAAAATTGTCTTCAGCCAGAGTCTGCTATTCTTCCACATGCCGTGCAGGCCGAGTTACCTCGCAACATCTATCCGGTCTCTTTGTTTATCTCTGATGAAGAAATCA